TTACTAAAACTGTCTAAAACTCACTGAATTGCAGAAAGTTATTAAAAATATGCTTACGCAATTTTTTTACATGATCATTAAACCAGGGTTTATTATCTCTATTGGCAACAGTAACATTTGCATTAACAGGGGGCGTGGCTTTGGTCATACGGATATCAGGTGGTTTCTTTGGGGATCCATAATGCCTTGCAATGTCTTTGTAAAAGTATAAACACAGGTATCAATAGAGTCTTGATTTAATTCTTCAGTAATAACAACCGAGTTGTTTAAAATAGCTTAATGAACTCTTATAGCTTCCATAAACTGATATTTATATTCATCCCTCCATTTAAATAAAGGTCTACTCTCCAAGTCTTGCTCGTCTAATTCTGATCCCTTAGAAAGAACAATGTCAATCAGATCATAAGTAGCATACACTCGTACACACGTTATCCGGCGGGCTGTTTATCAGACCATGAATCAGATATACCCGTACGCGTTATTCCGACGTGCTGTCAATCAGACCATAAATTACATACACCCGTACGCGTTATTCTGACGTGCTGTCAATCAGACCATAAGTCACATACACCCGTACGCGTTATTCCGACGTGCTGTCAATCAGACCATAAGTCACGTACACCCGTACACGTTATTCCGGCGGACTGTCAATCAGATCATAAGTGAGGCTAAATATAAATGTTTTAATCCGGCTCTTTGAAACTGGTCAAAGATAGCTGCAATACGGAATAAAGGTTTTCAGTACAAAAAGAAACTTGATTTTTTTTTGATTTTTTTTTTTTTTAACATATAGATCTATATATAAAGAATGATTTCCACTTTGAAATATCTCATATTTGTTTGCCTGCGTTTGCTCAACTAACCCGCGCTAAGCGTTACTTAATGGCTAAAAAATTGTTGTTTCTGATTGAAGAAAAACCCACATCTATAAGTGTTTAAAAGACAATATTTAAAATAACTGTCAATGATTAGTCTTCCTGTAACATTTCACGAACTAAGAATCCAAGTTCAAATCGATTTACTCTGAAGAATTCATGTGGTATGATAATCATGAGAGCTGGAAGCTTCTTGATTATTCCTCCAATATTTGCATCAGAATTTGAGGTTCAAACGCTATCAGCATGCATTCAGAAAATGCGTATAAAATTGATCGATCTAAATTTCTATAATCAGTTTCACGTGATTGGCATTTCCCCCATTGATGTGCCGTTCTCAGTTGACCCCTGTCTTTTTTCAATAACCTGTTCCTCTAATAAACACAAACAAAAAATGTATTCTCTGAAAAGGCGAGGTTTCTAATTAAATCGAAGTCAGTAAATAAGAAGATAAGACGAAAAGACCTAGCTTCTTGGTCTTGTGGGATTGGTTACCTGGAAATGGGGCTTGAGTAAGGCTAGTTTAGGGATGGGGTTGGATGAGAGATGAGAGATCCAACCGATACAGTCACTGTAGCCAGGTCCAAAAAACGGTGGGTTTTATATTCCAACACCTATGGTTAAAATACAGCATACTTTGGTCCTGGTTAAGGTCTCGTTGCTTTATAATTGGTGTTTATAATTAAGTTCCAACAAAGTCGTGTGCAGTAATTCGCTAATTAAATCAGCCTCGGTAAAATGCTTTCCATCAGTATGTGTACATGTATGCTGCACAAACGTACAGAGGACACGGTGTATACCGAGTCGATTTCGTCTGCTTCAGTAAAAGCTGCATTAAGGTCAATCAAGATTATGAAGGTAAGTAGGAACATTTTGTCTTTAAACAGAATACAAATCATGAAACGAAAATGAACAATTGACCATGAAGGCACTGAACGTTCTTTAATTGTGTTTTGTTGATCGGCTTAATCAGTGCGACAGTCTGTTTCTCACATGCATTTCAGTGATATGATGTGTTTGTTTTTAGGCATATTTCCTTTTTTAATGCGATTCCTCCATCTCATCCCTAACGTTTACAGTTCGCCTGATTTGTCATTATGCATTTAGAACGGAGTGTTATACGTAAACATAAGCGGATGATATAATGACAGAAATCTACCCAAGGCCAACGTCATGTACATAGGCCGACTATATAGTACTAGTAAGCATACACCGCTTAAGTTTTCAACAAGGATTTGTTTTAATCATACATTCTTATTAAATATATATATATATATGATTATCAGTCTTAACTATAAACTTAGGGAGTTCCCAGGACACGGGAGATCGCTTCTAGGCCCGGGACTCGTAGATTTCTTTCATCAGATATGGGAGGGGAGACCGACGGATAGACGGATACTATACCAAGTATCAATGTCCTATAGTATGTATCTGTACGTTATATGTCTATGTCCTATTTGCGTTCAGGTGGAAACTATAAATAAATCACAGGCAGAGCCTATACCATGTGTCTATATCCTACATACACCACGGGTGGTCGGGTGGTGCAGTGGATAGCGCAATCGCCTTTCACCAAGGCGGCCGGGGTTCGATTCCCCGGTTCGATTCCCCGATCGGACGTGAAAAGGTATGGGGGTCACCTGCCCAATCTCGTTGGTTTTCTCCGGGTACTCAGGTTTCCTCCCACAATAAAACCCTCCGCACGCTAACATCCGGGCCAACAAGAGTGATTAATATAAGTTTAGATAAATAAAATTAATATATATCCTACATTAATATAGACCAACTCTATTCCAATTGTCTATGTCCAATTTTCTTTGTCCTAAATACGCTACAAGTGACCCTGTTTCTGTGTCATTACATTACAGGTGATGTCTATAGTTTGGGGTTGTGTGACGCTCCTTCTCCTGTCCGCTCTGTACCTAGAGGTGGAGGCCCATTCCTGCTACGCTGACGGCCCCTCGTGTGTAGATCGGGGTGGAGAATGCGACAGTGAGGGAGGGATCTGTTTCATGCTGCCCCCAGTGTTTGATGGAGAGGTTCGCTGTTGCTGTACCGTTACAGACGACTGCGCTGGTGTTCCCAAGTCTTCAATGATGAAGAAGATCGAGCTCTAATCATTGGGAATACGCTTTCTTCAAAAACTGGCTGCTTGTTCATGTAGTACAGATCAAAGGGACCAGAATTGATTGAAATACCAGAGTGACGAAAAATCCTTCAAATCGAAGTAAATACAAACATGTGCAATTTGTGTTCATGAGATGTGTGTCCTGCATGGTAAAGAATACATACTCTAAGAATGGTGAATGAGGGTTTCTTAACAATCGATGCTACTAGTGACAGTTAACTTAGTTTTATAAACTTTCAGAATCATTTTGATTTAGATCCATGTTCAAGTTAATAAAAGGGATTTCTTAAAAAAATATTTGAACAATAAAACTTTGATAAGGACCATGTATGTTACGTGCTTTTTTTAGACTGGGAATCACTGACCTGTTGAAAGGTAGGCCTCGCTAGACATTGAACTAGTCTATTTGAATTGTGGACCAGATAGATTTGAATTGCTACTTAAATCATTTTAAATTAAAGAATATTTCAAACCAATGCTTTTATGACTGTGTATATATACGTGTAAATACTTGTAAATTACTTGTGTGTCAAAAAAGACAGCACGGTATGAAATATTAGACCTCCTTTCTACGATATCCACTTACTTTTTCGATACTGTTCTGTTCCTGAGAGCGTTTCCTGGTGTCTGGTTAACGCAAGATTTTAATAAACCACAGCGTTGACACACAAAAATTGTTTTGTATCGACTTTTAAAGGAGACACCATTTAGAAAAATCAACATAACTCCCTCACAAGGATAGCCGATGCGCAACCGAATGTCGGGCCGTCACGATATGATTGTCTCTAGTCATCAACGATCAAAAAGTGTCGTATTCAGTTTTAACCATGAAAGGAACGTACAGACGACCGTTCTCTTCGACGTACATGTTGAAAATCAAAGAATTAATAAATAGGAAATACCACAACTGTGATGTGTTTGCGTTGCACCAGAGACATATATATGTCTCTGTTTACACGTATGACCACGGATATATTTCCCAATGGGGTTAGCCCGAGCGAACTATACCTGCAATCTCCGACGCCATATTAACATATACAATTATATACATGTATATATGTATGGTGTTGCTTTCATTACACACCTAAATATAAACTTTATTTATTTTACAACAATTATGAAACAAGTTTCAACATATATATCAATCACTGATGTTGCCCGGATGGGGGATCTTATTGTGGGAGGAAACCGGAGAAAACCCACGTGGTCGGGCAGGTGACGCCATACCTTTTCACGTCCGATCGGGAAATCGAACCCCAGATGCCTTGGTGAAAGGCGAGTGTGCGATCCACTGCACCACCCGACCACCCGTGGTGTGTGTATAAGAATCAATTACTGTACGTTAATATTTGGTTGGTAAGGTAGGCCAAACCACAAGCCCTTTATTGGCAATTAACATTTTAGTTAATACTATATCTTTAATTGTTTAAATGCCGTTATTTGGTCAATCACTTCATATTTTATATCATTCAATTACGTTATTTTATTTATGGCACGTGTAATTTTATGTCTCCTAATATATGAAGGACATCCCGATCACCTGCTCTCCAGAATGCCATGGTATCAGATTTGAGACAAAATAGGTTTTTCTTTTTTCTATAACATTTTAGATCTAGTTTTATAAAAGACCGTGTCTTAGAGTATCATCAAATGTTCAATATCTATTATATAATTGTGTAACTATTTTGTTAATTGAATCGGCTTTCATGGGTTATCCCGGGTAAAGGCCTAAATTAATCAAATCCAATCAGTCCAGTTTTAACACCTGAGTGACTAGGCCTACTATGTAACTTATAAATAACATCTGTGATAATATATATTCTATGTCCAATCTGCAAAATGTGATATACGCGTATTATCTGCCATTTTACCTGAATAAATATTATTATTATCAGAGACGTATAATACAAAATGTATTATACCACGGACTTAGATCATTCCGTGATTATACGTCTCTGTTATTATTATCAAACTGCCCTCACTAGAATCGGGGCTGTTTTAGTTATCGCCCCTGAGAAGAACTCTCTGTACCTCACTGACGCCTGACGAGAAAATCAAACATGGCACTGCGGCTTCAAAGTTTTATTCGGACGTTTGGAACGTTTGGGTAAAATATGCATACCTTAACATTGCATCCATTGTAAACATAAACCTATGTCCATTTTAATTTCGCGTAGATTCAGGTAGATAATTTATTCTTCTTCCTGTCAAATGTCGAAAATCTCTCCTTGAAATGAGCATCTGAAGGACACACTCGGCCTGGTTTACATGCAGGGAAAATATGCGTTGAATACTCACTAAGTATCATAAAAATGTGTTAAAGACTAAGTATTTTTAAACGCAGGCTGAGTGGCCCTCTGTCTTTTTAAGACTTTCCTTGACATCAGTTTTGAAATATGGATGAATAATGTTCTATAGAATACCGGGATTTTGGTCGATTTTAGTCGAATACTTTTAGTATATAATGGAAGCTACAGTAGAGAGCAGACACCAGCTGCAAAAAAAAAATCAGCAACCGAATGTAACGTATGATTTACTAGTATAACCGGAGAGGAAAAAGTCCCGAGCTATGTGGTTGGCAACGATCGACCCAGTCCAGTTCTGCTACATTCCTCCGTCCATTTTCTAAGTCTTCACCCCTGAAGACACAGCTATTTACAAACCAGGTTCAGGTATACCGTTGGCAAGCATACTCCAAATGTTTGAAACCAGAGTTAACGTTGGTCACAGGCACCACTGTAACAGGAGAGGAAAAATGAACAGCCAGAATGGGGTTTGAACCTGGGACCCTCCAAACTCTAGATGGATAGCTCTACCAATTGAGCTAATGCTGCTATCTGGTCGCTGACTATCGACCCAGTGTAATTTTGCTACACTAGTCTTGTGCTCTACCAAATGAAGTCAAGTAAAGAGAAATTGTACCAGAGTCGGTAGGAAGTGGCTAGTATTTTACAACAAAAATGACATGCTCCCTCTCCAGAAAATACCTTGTACCGAGTTTTCCAGGGGTCATAGTGATTCTTGTGAAAATATCGCTAAGTATGTTTTACAATATTCCCAAATCCCTTCGTGGGCGACAATTCAACGGGTCTTTTTTGTCAATGCCTCCGCTAGGAGTCGAACCTGGGTTACCAAGTTTGCTCCCAAATTTATTTAATGAGATTGCATGATGTTTTTAGATCAGTAATACTCGGCGAATGTAACACATTTCATTCCTTCATTATGGCTTAATATTCTAATTGTACCTGTATACGTAATCAGCCATTAATGATTCCACTTCGGGACAGGCTACACATTCACTGCCATGAAATGTTATTACTTGGGTTAAAAGTCGTACAGTGTTGAAATAATTAAAACTTCAAAAATGTAAGCCAAGTTATATCACAAATAGAACGATGAGTTTTTACACACAAATTTTGATATTTTATATCAATTACAGTATAATAAATGGTTATATCAGTAATCACATAATGGATACATTTGAGACCGAAATCATTTCTTTATTTTTCAGTGTACGAGCTATGAGTACAGGGGATGCTGGTTCTGGTGCAGGAAAGGTAATGTCTTATCTCTGCTAAATATTGTTTTGAAGATGTAGTAAAATAAAGCAATGTGTTTTTTTTTTATCCCGGAGTGTCGGTGGAAACTTGCATTCCCTTGAAAGGAACTAATGATCTATTAGCCTTCACAATGGCTTTCTTGCTGAAGTTTACATTAGCTAGCCTGTTCCTTCATAAATTTGGAAAATATGCTCTTAGTTTTTTATTGAAATTGGGGAGATGTTCTTCATTTCGGAAAAATAAAGCAATCTTTTGCTAGTGGAAGCAGACTGCATTTCCTATAAAAGTAGGTAAAAAATCACTGCCTTTATACACTTCACTTTAAAGAAAAGTCATTTAAGAAAATGTGAGAAAGGTACAGATGTATATGCACAGGTACTAGCTGCGTCTGTCAATACACCCATAATATATGGTGTATTGACGGATGAGGCTTTATACCTGTGGTAGATCTGGGATCCGTATACCGGTATGTACACAGTACAATGTACTACTAATGTAGATGTCTGAGGACTAGGACACTTGATGTGTGTTGGTCTATCTGTATAATGCTATGTTACTGTTTGTTTCAGGGTGGTGGATCCGGAGGCTCGATCAGGTAGGTCTTCCTTATGATGATTATTTTGTCTATGGATTAAGCATGAAAATATAGGGAATGTACATGGAGTTGTAAGATTAGGGAGAAATAAACAGTAGCCTATAGAGAGTTTGAGCTCACTGTATCTAACTCAGTCCTTGATAGTACATGTATTTACCAACATTGAAATGTATTCAACTACCAGACAAGGGTAATTGGGTATGAAAATATGGAACTTTCTATTTCCATCCCTCCATGTTTTTGTAGATACAGTGAGAATTGGGTTTCAGGGCCATAACTTGATCTTAAATACAAGGTTGCATACATATGTATAGTACATTGAAATGTCACATGATGCTTGTTTACTGAGGGGTAAATGAATTTTGTAGAGAAAAGACGCCTACCGCATAGGATACCTTGGCCCATAGTGAAAAAGTTAGGTCCCTACAGCTTTCAGATACCTGGTACCTTTCCACATACGACCTTGAAACTACAGAATAATTACCCATAAGTAGTATTTACCTGATGAAATAAAACAAAACAGAAAAAACGCACCTTGGCAGTGAGAGGTTAAGGGCATGTCTTTTACTAAAACAAATATAAAGTATTTCATTCTGAACATGAACAAATTACAACATTGATCCTTTAGGTTTAAGAGAATGTAATTACTTTCTATTCTATTTCGTCATTAAAAAGTTTTTTTCCAGTTCATTCGTGATTTTCCTCTACTTTCATACGGTATAGTTGTATGTTGTAGGCTTTTTTATGATGCCAGAACAGCCTGAAATTACTCCCAAATAATGTCCAGAAAGGTTATAACAGTAAATACCATGACCAATATAACGCTTGACCATGTTTATTAAATGATACACCACTGACAAACACTCAACTGTATGTTTGTAGAGATGCTGGCGGTAGTTTCGGAAAGATGGAGGCCGCACACGAGGAACAATTTATGAGAAAACTGGTAAATATATCCTGTGTATTTAAAATAATCTGTTTGTTAAAAATATTCATATCATATATAACTACCACATAATTATCCATTTACAAAAGATTTCTACGCTATAAAACTATTAAACATTCAATCTAGTTTTTTTATTTGAATGTTACTGATCATGGTTGATATTGTAATAAAAGTTTGCAAGGGGAGATAACTTTGAACAATGTTCTAATCGCAACATTGACGTGAAATTCATTGTTGCTGTTTTTCTATCAACAACAGGCACAAGAACAGTTGAAAAAACTGAAGGAGCATCACGAGGATGAGATCAAACAGCATGAAGTAAGTATATTTCTATTCTCGTCGTCAAACAGCATGAAGTAAGTATGATTCATCCATCAAACAAACAAATAGCACACAAACACAGAGTTATTGTACTTCAAACAAACCCTATGCTTGGACTTATTTCACTAGCCATGTCTTGTATTGGAGTTTTTACCCTCGTTTCCTTCTGAAATCTACAGAATTCCCATTACTTTGCTACTTTTAAACAAATTTAATTGATTCATTGCATGGAATAGCTTAAACTAATCTACAAATATGGGTTATTTTAAGTACTTTGATTAGTAGGGTGTATAGTAACATTGCAGGACCAATATATTACAATATTTGTAAATTTGTACATTGCAATATGATTTTGAAGCGGCAATTTATTGCTAGAATTTGTTCAACTGATTGCTATGGTGTTTAAGAGTAGTTTAAGTTATGAAATAGTTTTACAGAAGTCATGTTGTCATTGAATATTATTCAAATTAAGCTTGCTTAGTGGGAAAGCTTCCGTAATTATAGAAAACAATTGTCAATTTATCGTTGAAGCTTGTTGGAGTGATGCTTACTTATGGTATTAATTATATAGAATCATTATCAGTGAACCATATTTCCTGGAATGATATTGCAATATATATTGTATCATTCCCTATATTTTTTATTTTATGCCACACATTGTCCATCTCCTGATAACTACTGCTTAATGTTCACCAAGACATGCCATTTCACCATTTTCCTTATCCCTGATGAAATCAACCTTGTACCAGGTATTTTGAGACCATTGCCACATTTATTCTCTATGTTTATGAAGTTGAAACCCATTGTGGCAGCTGTTTATGTTGCAAGTCTAGGGTGTCGGGATGTCTCCAGTTTTATCAGGGACCCATGTCTGACCTAACAAAGATTGATATGTTGCCTAGGATTGAATGGCAGTTGCACTATTGTATATGGTTTAATCTTATACTTGTCCGTGATATGGGTTGTTTTACATGTGTAATACTGCTAGCTCTGGATAAGCCATATCCCAGACCAATCCAAATCTGCCCGGCATGCGCCATTATACAATTATGGACTTTTGTGATGGTGAATATGATGTGATATGAACCTGAAAAAGCGATATTGACCGAGGCGAAGCTAAAGTTAATACAGTATAACCTGTCTAAACTGGTCCCTGTCTAATCTGGTCACGTGTATATAGGCTTAGCAGCCATCCTTTGTTCCATTCTAACTTAAACTGCACAGGACTGGTCACATGTATGCCTCAACAGCCATCCTCTGTTCTATTCTAACTTAAACTGCACAGGACTGGTCACGTATATAGACTCAGCAGCCATCCTCTGTTCCATTCTAACTTAAACTGCACAGGACTGGTCACATGTATAGGCTCAGCAGCCATCCTCTGTTCCATTCTAACTTAAACTGCACAGGATTGGTCACATGTATGCCTCAGCAGCCATCTTCTGTTCCATTCTAACTTAAACTGCACAGGACTGGTCACGTATATAGACTCAGCAGCCATACTCTGTTCCATTCTAACTTAAACTGCACAGTATTGGTCACATGTATGCCTCAGCAGCCATCTTCTGTCCCATTCTAACTTAAACTGCACAGTATTGGTCACATGTATGCCTCAGCAGCCATCTTTTGTTCCATTCTAACTTAAACTGCCCAGGCCTGGTCACGTATATAGGCTCAGCCGCCATCCTCTGTTCCATTCTAACTTAAACTGCACAGGACTGGTCACGTGTATAGGCTCAGCAGCCACCCTCTGTTCCATTCTAACTTAAACTGCACAGGACTGGTCACGTATATAGGCTCAGCAGCCATCCTCTGTTCCATTCTAATTTAAACTGCACAGGACTGGTCACGTGTATAGGCTCAGCAGCCATCCTCTGTTCCATTCTAATTTAAACTGCACAGGACTGGTCACATGTATGCCTCAGCAGCCATCCTCTGTTCCATTCTAACTTAAACTGCACAGGACTAGTCATGTGAATAGGCTCAGCAGCCATCCTCTGTTCCATTCTAACTTACACTGCACATGACTGGTTACATGTATAGGCTCCAACCAATGTGATTGAGCGAAATTTTCAAGCATATAATAAATACTTTTAACTTCCACTTGGACACTTTTCAGAAAAGTCACACCTCAAAATGGTAGCGTACACACTTCATATCAATCTGTATTTTGCTTTTCTGTTCATTGTGTTTCATCCGAGGTAGAATATATGATAAAATGTATATTATATGCTTTCAGGATGCAATCAAGCGACACAAGGCAAACATCAAGAAGTTAAAACCTGATGCTGGTAGTGACAGCGACAGTGACTGAGGTGTCAAGTCCAATGCGTTCTGGTCATGTAATGTAGGAAGTGCTAATGAGTGGATTACAAGTGTTTCAAAAAATGGAAAGAGTGACTAGTTAATTTAAACACACTTTTATAATAAATGTGCCCAAACAATGTTTGACTTGTGTTGTATAATATTGAGAAATATACCAACTTTTTTCAATCCTTGAGAGTCGAAGGACAGCTTAGTTTCAAACACCTCGTCAAAATGGTGAACATGTTACTTTTATAGTATTAGATGTATATATTTAGTACTGTGTGATCTACATTCTGTTCGTCCAGAATAACCAGAAATAATACGGTATATGTATTTTACCGTGACATGCTTCTTCTTTCTAAAGATATGATTTATCAATTAAAGGTACCCTAGTTAGAATTGATTTTGGAATTAATTGATTTTATTGAATTTCTATTTTAAAAATATTAAAGGGAGATAACTGTCGCAAATACTGTGAAAGTATGTACAGTGTGTTTTGTGGTTCTCCGACGTCGGCATATTAAACACATCAGAATATGTATCTATTGTTTTATGAAATATGATATGTATTTGAACTAATGGCTTCTCTGAAAGAGACATTTAACAAAATAAATTCTAGAAGGTTGTATAGTTGCTTGAACTTAAGTAAGTACTGATAAGATTTTGTATATTGTAGGTAGAATTCTTGTCTGCTAGTGTATTGGGTTGGCTTCCTAAGGGTAATTGGGTCCCAAAAGAGTAATTTTCAAAAATATTCACTTGAGTATTCTAGATGAGGAAGAAAATAGTTTATATCAAGCCAGCTTGACTTCAACTGTGACCCGATCAACGAGCTGAACTTTACGTAGGTTAACTCACATTCAATGCTAGACAAATTTTGCATGAAGAGGCTGCAGGCCATAGCAATTTTGACAATCAATTTTTCATCCGTAACTTTTCTCAAGTTATACAGACCAGATTTCACGTGGTTGAAAGTTAAGGCCCGTTGTCTGCTTGTTGAAGGATCCCCATACCACTGCCTAAAACTAACTAAGCATTGAAAATTTATTTTCTGACATGACCAACTTTTATACATCATTTCTGAACAGATAAGCCATTCAGATTGATATGTTACGCCTGTGCCCTGCTTTGAACATCAATGCACATATCAGAGAAACTAACTTAACGCAAAAACTTTATGTTGATGGAGATGCTGACAAAGTCAATGGTGATGTATGGGTTGAGATGTACTACCTAAGATGCATCTATGGTCCAAGTTTGGTTGGTGTAGCCCTTATATACTTTCAGTGAAACTAATTTAAACACAAACTTAATGTTGATGCCACCGTCGCCGGAAAAGTAATTAACTAGAGGAATTTTTCTCCAATTTGATATGAAGGTTCCCCTTCACTCAGTGGTCCTGAGTTGTGCGCGTTAACTTTTGAGGTTGATCAAAAGATTGATTAAGATGGCGAACAGGCAAACTGATGGAACAGACCAGAGAAAAGATCAAACTGATGGAACAGACCAGAGAAAAGATCAAACTGATGGAACAGACCAGAGAAAAGAAGAGAAAAGATCAAACTGACATAGAACTAATGACTATGGTGGGCACCAAGATCCCAATGGGATCTGTTGTTCATTTAACCGGAGACCACCAAGCCCAGCTCGACAAATTTAAAAAAAAAGATACACAGCTATACAAATAATAAAACACTTAAGCATATCTTCATATACTCTTTATTAATAATAAATAAAAAAAAGATATTCCCATTGAATTTATATCTATAGCTATTTATAAAATGATAAACACAACTTCAGTTAATAAACTAACCCTTGTTCAGGTCCTACCTTGTTAATATGGCACATATAAATATACAAAAATAGCAAAGCTCGCATGAAAAGGCGACCTTTATAGAAAACATTGGCACTGGTTTCACAAGTATCGCATTATAGATGAAAAGGGAATCGAAGATTATATTGATCAAAAAATTATTTCTTTGACATCTTTAAATTAATTGCACTGTGAAAGGAGTGTATAACACATACAATTGTATACAATAAATGATTAAAATATACATGTACATTTATTATGGATTTGTTACCATATTTAATATCAAAATACAAATCATAACAAAACAAGAAATATCTGTGCATGTTTGTATACAGGTACATTTGTATGGTCTAACAAATACACAACTGCCTAAAAACATCCCTGATACACATGGAGACACGTCCTTTGACTCATTCACCCCTGAAATTTCATAATGAACTATTCCAACCATTGAGTTGGAAGAGTTCAAATGTGTCTTCAGGGGTGAATGAGTTAAAGTGACCTTACCTGTTGGGATGTTAAACACTATAAGCCAAACAAAATCCTTGTAATCAATAGAAAACCCTGAAGACCACCATTTCAAGATGAATGCAAAAGAAATGTTTTAATGGTGTCGATATACAATGGCAAAATAACAACAAATATACTGAAGGATTGATACTTTATGGCCCAATTTATTACATATCAACAACGTGGCAGGCTGTTTTCGTGGTGACAGCCGTTAAAATTGATCAAAATCTTATCCAATACTCAACATAAATCACACAGACTTCATCAGTTAAAGTAATATTGTTAATGACCGATATATATATATTTGCAGATAACTGAGTTTTATAGATCAATGTGTTTTTGATAAATGATTACACTCTACGATTGGCAACATTGGCTCATCTTTTGTCTTGTATTCTTGTTTACCTAAGGTGACAGTACCCAAAATAGATCACCACACGATCATTTATTGATATAGTTGATATAGCAGTCGACACCAATGGAAAGCTTCAGGTAGCTTCTTGCTGCACATTTTAATGTTCCTATACTAATACACGACTTCCGGTGCGTATTTATATAGTTGATATAGCAGTCGACACCAATGGAAAGCTTCAGGCAGCTTCTTGCTACACATTTTAATGTTCCTATACTAATACACTACTTCCGGTGCGTATTGAAAAGCCAGAAATTTTACAGTTAAAAGGTGAGTTAAAATATTAAATAGTCTGACAGGATAATATAATTATAAGGAATAATATATATATGTATTCAAAAATTGAAATTCAGAGGATGTGTTGCGTTCGTTTATGGTTGTATCGAAAGAAGACTACTGGGGTGATATGCTATCCAATGCTGTTCCTGACTTGTCAGTATTCATTTTGATGTTAAAGAGCAGACAATTTTTTTTTCATTTGAAGCTCAAGATATTGCAAAATTCAAGCTGTGATCCTTCAAACGTTCTATTTTTAGCAACAGTTACCTTGACATATAACAACTAGTGTATAACTATGCAAAATTTCACAAAGATGTTGGACTTATTGATTCTGGGGTTATTTCCAGGTGGTGGACAGACAGACACTACAATTACTATATGGCTCTTGCATCTCTGGAACCTTAACAAGTTCTTGCCAAAGAAATATCTGCCAAATTCATGTTGTAGATTGATATATGTTGGAAGGGTTTGTTTGTGTTTTACGTCCTATTAACAGCTATGGTCATTTAAGGACGTGCCAGGTTTTGGTTGTGGAGGAAAACCGAAGTTCCTGGAAAAAACCCAGACCTTAAACCTGTGACCCAGTGGTGGAGGGCTAGTGGTAGCAGAATGTCGGCTGCATTAACCACTTGGCCACAGAGGCCCCTCATATCAGAAGGGTGCAGGGCGGGTTCTCAAAATTAGTTCTATATGAAAAGTAGTGTTGTGGATAAATATGGTACACCTGGGAGTTCTTCAATATTAAAAAAGGCTTAAAAAAAGTGTTGTGGTTTGATATATCTTCAAAATTAATATGTCAAACCTGTATTAAGTGACCACTCGTGGAAGGTTCAAAAAGTGGTCTCTTAATACAGGTTAAGTTCACAATGAAATCAATCCGATGGGGGACATGTACAGTGGTCTTATAATGCAGGTGGTCTTTTATTAGCGTGGTCATATGAGCAGGTTTCACTGTACAAAGTGAAAAAGTAGTGCCAGGCCTGTGTATTGATATGATCTGTCCGCGGAGTTCTACAGTAAACAGTTATGGTATACATTTTACAACCATAACATCACAGTGGAATACATGTATATATATAAAATATGACAATTGAATTGAAGTCTGTGTGACAGGAAAAAAAACAAAAAAAACCCACAAGAAAACAGATTTTTAGGCCCTAAACAGTGATAGGCCAGGAGAATCCATCATCTTGTGATTTTGATTTTTTTTATAAATATATATATATATATACATGTACTTAACAACCATAAAAGGATTGTATAGTGAAGCTGGCCATGGCTGATTCAACCACCTTAATTTGTTACCAGCTAAAATACAGTACAAAAGCACTTGGATGAATGGAATACTTTGGATGATCAGGATTAAAGAAGTCCCCAAATCATTGCCTGGATAATAGGACAACAAGATTAGTTGTGGCTGGATAAACAATGCTGGACAGTGGGACAAAATTTGTGGTAGTTAGATTTATCCATATGAGAGGGACATCAGATGGGGGATGTAAACATAGCCGGTCAGCGGGATGAAATTACAGCTGGTTTGATTAACAAGACTGAACAGTATAAACGAACAAACAGGGACTTCATCCATGTACATGTATCATGATTATATTGCATTAACTGAAAAAAATAAACAATAAACAAAAAGTTATTTGAAGTCAAATCATATGAACAAGGCATCACACGTGATACAAATCCCCTCGCAATCACGCATTGTGACACACGTAAGAGAAAATGAAGTCACTAGAGTGATGACAAAGTTTTTTCTAAAAATAGTAACAGTGACCTTGACCTTCAAGGGAGAAACTGAAATGAGAACTTGTTTAAGGCATTGCCATACCAATCACTTGTATGAAGTTTCATGATATTCCATTGAAGTGGGTACGGACGACAGACGGGCGGACAGTGCACCATGGCATAAGCTTACTTGACCCTTTGGGCCAGGTGAGCTAACAATTAACATATACAATAATCAATACAATTGTTGAGGAATTTGCAGGAGTTGCCTTATCAGGCGCTAACTACATATGTTCTCGTCCTATGTCACCTGGCTAATTTCTCCCTATGTGTGTATGCCTGTGTGTGTGCTGGAGATGTAATGTGTTCTGTTTGTAGTAGGACTGTGCTTCCAACGGCATCATTTATAGTGCCTCCTCACTTGAATGCTACAACACAGATATGGCAACACCCACCCCAGACCATTTTATACTCCACCTGGGTTGTTTAAGTTGTGTTGGCAGGAGAAAAACACTTTTTCTTAATATCCATGCGTGTGACGACTACGGGGATCGAACACTGGCTGCCTGCGTGGAAGGCAGGAGTGTTAACCATTCGACCAATCCGTCGTAGATAAGATATGTATCCATATAATGTTGTTTGATTTTGACATATCAAGCTGAGTATCAATATAAAAGCTGTATATGTTTGAGATCAGATATATATCTCTCTAAATACATAGTACATGTACTTGATAAGTATTTCAATAATGGCTTTGTTCAAGATAAGGTATATATATATATAAAGGTTGTACATGTTTGGGTAAGAATTTGATCTATATATGTATACATGTAAGCATTTGTAAATATTGGAAATCAGGCACTTGGCAATCACAGTTTTAAGGACACAGATCTTCATGGAAGACTTTTTTTTATAAATTTGTTCTGTCTTGATTGAACTGGAAACAATTTTGAGCAAGTCAAGTAAAATTGCCTTGGTTAAGTGAATTTCCCATTCTTCCTGCAAGACAAACAATTAATGCAATTGAAAAATAACCTCTCCTCTGACAGCAACTCCCTGACAACACCAATTCCTATGACAGCCACTCCCCTCACCACACCCATTCCTGACAGCCACTCCCTCACCACACCAATTCCTCTGACAGCCACTCCCTCACCACACACATCCCTCTGACAGCCCCTCCCTCACCACACCCATTCCTGACAGCCACTCACTCACCACACCCATTCCTGACAGCCACTCCCCCACCACACCCATTCCTGACAGCCACTCCCTCACCACACCCATTCCTGACAGTCACTCCCTCACCATACCCATTCCTCTGACAGCCACTCCCTCATCACACCCATTCCTCTGACAGCCACTCCCTCACCACACACATCCCTCTGACAGCCACTCCCTCACCACCCCCATTCCTGACAGCCACTCCCTCACCACACCAATTCCTCTGACAGACACTCCCTCACCACATCCATTCCTCTGACAACCGCTCCCTGATGACACCCATTCCTGACAGCCACTCCTTCACCACACCCATTCCTCTGACAGACCCTCCCTCACCGCACCCATTTCTCTGACAGCCACGCCCTCACCACACCCATTTCTCTGACAGACACCCCCTCACCACACCCATTCCTCTGACAGACACTTCCTCACCACACCCATTCCTCTGACAGCAACTCCCTCACCACATCCATTCCTCTGACAGCCACTCCCTCATCCCACCCATTCCTCTGACAGCCACTCCCTCATCACACCCATCCCTCTGACAGCCACTCCCTCACCCCACCCACTTCTCTGACAGCCACGCCCTCACCACACCCATTTCTCTGACAGCCACGCCCTCACCACACCCATTTCTCTGACAGCCGCTCCCTCACCACACCCATTTCTCTGACAAACACTCCCTCACCACACCCATTCCTCTCACAGCCACTCCCTCACCACACCCATTCCTAACAGTCACTCCCTCACCATACCCATTCCTCTGCCAGCCACTCCCTCACCACATCCATCCTTCTGACAACCACTCCCTGATGACACCCATTCCTGACAGCCACTCCTTCACCACACCCATTCCTCTGACAGACACTCCCTCACCACACCCATTCTCCTTAAAGAGATTGAACCAACAGAACAAAGATACTCATGTTTGTATCTACCTTGCGTTTTGACCTTTTGATTTGAAAATTAACTTTGAGCCCTGTATAAGAAATATAAATAGTTTATTGAAATCGAACATTCAAATGGATTGGGCTCAAGTTCTTGCAACTTACTAGGCCCTCTCCCAAATAAACTTGATTGACTGAAGGGAACCCCATTTCCTGGGCAAAGATGGCCTGTATAGAGTGTGCCTTAGCCTCACAACCACTTCAGAATCGTATATTAAATTAATTCCACTCTCATAACAACTCTTGTAAAATGACAACTCTCATGAGCAATCACGTATCATTACAACCCAAGGATCACACACTGTCTGTGGCTATTTGTTGAGGAGGGTAAGAGTCTAGAAGGTTAGAACTGGACGTATAGCTCTTGACCACGTCCTTCTTGCCGAGGAGTGGTGCATGTTCTTCAGACTTTTCCTCTGATGCTTTTCGTTTACAGCAACATGGCTTGTCAAAGAGAATCGTCACAACCAGGATTACAGCCTGCAAAATAACAACCCATAAACAGCTGTAAGTCTAACAAAGATGAAGTTAACATAGACACAGCAGACAACAAAAGAGGTTGTTACAGGACATAAAGATTTCTATTTAGGAGGCACAGTAGTCTAGTGGTAGGATGCCGGGCTCGTGACCGAAGGGTTGTGAGGCAGGGTAGTCTAGTGGTAGGATGCCAGGCTCGTGACTGAAGGGTTGTGAGGAACTGTAGTCTAGTGGTAGGATGCCGGGCTCGTGACCAAAGGGTTGTGAGGCACGATAGTCTAGTGGTAGGACACCGGGCTCGTGACCGAAGGGTTGTGACGCACAGTAGTCTAGTAGTAGGCCCCCGGCCGTGATCGAGGGGTTGTGAGGCACGGTAGTCTAGTGGTAGGATATCAGGCTTGTGACCGAAGGGTTGTGACGCACATTAGTCTAGTAGTAGGCCCCCGGCCGTGATAGAAGGGTTGTGAGGCACGGTAGTCTAGTGGTAGGATATCAGGCTTGTGACCGAAGGGTTGTGACGCACATTAGTCTAGTAGTAGGCCCCCGGCCGTGATCGAAGGGTCGTGAGGCACGGTAGTCTAGTGGTAGGATGCCGGGCTTGTGACCGAAGGGTTGTGAGGCACAGTAGTCTAGTGGCAGGATGCCAGGCTCGTGACCAAAGGGTTGTGAGGCACGATAGTCTAGTGGTAGGATATCAGGCTTGTGACCGAAGGGTTGTGACGCACAGTAGTCTAGTAGTAGGCCCCCGGCCGTGATCGAAGGGTTGTGAGGCACGGTAGTCTAGTGGTAGGACACCGGGCTCGTGACCGAAGGGTTGTGATGCACTGTAGTCTAGTAGTAGGCCCCCGGCCGTGATCGAAGGGTTGTGAGGCACGGTAGTCTAGTGGTAGGATGCCGGGCTCGTGACCGAAGGGTTGTGAGGCAGGGTAGTCTAGTGGTAGGATGCCAGGCTCGTGACCAAAGGGTTGTGAGGCATGATAGTCTAGTGGTAGGATGCCAGACTCGTGACCGAAGGGTTGTGAGGCATGGTAGTCTAGTGGTAGGATGCCAGGCTTGTGACCGAAGGGTTGTGAGGCACTGTAGTCTAGTGGTAGGATGCGGGGCTATAGGAGGCACGGTAGTCTAGTGGTAGGACGCCGGGCTCGTGACTGAAGGGTTGTGAGGTATGGTAGTCTAGTGGTAGGATGCTGGGCTCGTGACCGAAGGGTTGTGAGGCATGGTAGTCTAGTGGTTGGACGCCGGGCTCGTTACTGAAGGGTTGTGAGGCACAGTAGTCTAGTGGTAGGACGCCGGGCTCGTTACTGAAGTGTTGTGAGGCATGATAGTCTAGTGGTAGGACGCCGGGCTCGTGACCGAAGGGTTGTGAGGAACGGTAGTCTAGTTGTAGGACGCCGGGCTCGTAATCGAAGGGTTGTGAGGCACGGTAGTCTAGTGGTAGGACACCGGACTCGTAACCCGTGATTGCGGGTTCACATCACAGCACTGTGTTGTATATAATCTTTGAACAAGATACTTTACTCTGCTTGTTCCAGTCTACTCAGCTGTAAATGAGTACGTGGTTTGGTAGTGCTAGAATTGTTGAATGCTAGCTATGAGTGCCGAAATGGCAGTACCAGCTGTACGCTCCCAAGGAAGTTGAGAAAGATATTGGCTGACTGCAAAGGCCCTTTCCGTCTTTGCATATTGCAGAGTTATCTTCTCTTGTGAGCAGGTATTGATTATTACATCATTGGTTTGTGAGAGTAACGTCATCAATCTTTGAGAAAACAGCGTAATTTTCTCACACAAACCAATGACGTAACAATCAATACTTGCTCACAAGAGCAGATAACTCTGCAATACGCAAAGACGGAATATAACCACGGATACTAATTTGTGAACCGCTTTGAGACGATCTATGAACTAGGTTGTGATAAAGCGGTATATAAGAACCTCGAATTATTATTATTATTATTTATACAGATCACAAAATATTCCTACACATCGGACTAGCTTACCATTACTGTTGTCAGTATGGCCACATACGTTGTCATTGACTGGAAGCCCACCTCGTCCAACAAGAAACCACCAATTGCAGGACCCAAAAAATCCCTGTCAACATAACAACATCATTATTAAAAACACTAACATTCTATAAAGAAGCTATAATTAACAATAAGATTGCTTACACCTTTATTGTAATACCACTTTGAAGGCTGTAGACTCAAAAACAATGATACACTTTATTCCACTTCAAGTCACAAATATGTAAAAACATGTTTTTTATAACCAATATACATGTATATATCTTCTATTTCTTGCTTATTGACTAAAACCCTAAAAACAGCTGCTTTACTAGTAAAGTTGTAAACTGACCGCACATTTTTCATTTGCATATGAAGCCTGGATGGCAATTTTTAATGACACCAATGACCCTGACTGACCCCAAAACATCATAATATTACGTGACGAACAATAGCGTGACCCCGAAAGGTCGCTATAATTCGCCCACCAGTCTGCGCGTGCATGAGATCCAGCCCGTTGGTCCGATAGAATTTTCCAGCACCACCAGAAATGCAGATTTATTGGTCTAGTATGCAAGAAATTATTGTATGTAACTTGGTACATATAATTTAGTTTGAGTAAATATTGTAAGATTTTGTCTGCTTGCAATTAAGCTTTTTGGTCCATCATGTTACATTGGGGGCAAAATACAGTAATATCATGTTACATTGGGGGCAGAATACAGTAATATAATGTTACATTGGGGGCAGCGTACAGTAATATCATGTCACACTGGCGTCAGAATACAGTAATATCATGTTACAAAATATTCTCCAAATGTGATCCAAGGGAATATGCCAAACCCCAATGCCAATCCTTGTAGCATATCTGTATTAGATTTTTCATGCCCAGCAATTTTACATATGGTTATGGGGTGGGTATCTCAACTGTTTCCAAGCTGTGACTCAGAAACTATCATGTTACATTGGGGGCAGAAAAAAGTAATATCATGTTACATTGGGGGTAGAATACAGTAATATCATGTTACAAAATATTCTCCAAATGTGATCCAAGGGAATATGCCAAACCCCAATGCCAATCCTTGTAGCAGAAATGCAGATTTATTGGTCTAGTATGCAAGAAATTATTGTATGTAACTTGGTACATATAATTTAGTTTGAGTAAATATTGTAAGATTTTGTCTGATTGCAATTAAGCTTTTTGGTCCATCATGTTCCATTGGGGGCAAAATACAGTAATATCATGTTGCATTGGGGGCAGAATACAGTAATTCCATGTTACATTGGGGGCAGAATATAGTAATATCATGTTACATTGGGGGAAGAGTACAGTAATATCATGTTACAATGGGGGCAGAATACAGTTATATCATGTTACACTGGGGTCAGGATACAGTAATATCATGTTACATTAGGGGCAGAATACAGTAATATCATGTTTCATTGGGGGCAGAATACAGTAATTCCATGTTACATTGGGGGCAGAATATAGTAATATCATGTTACATTGGGGGCGGAATACAGTAATATCATGTTACAAAATATTCTCCAAATGTGATCCAAGGGAATATGCCAAACCCCAATGCCAATCCTTGTAGCAGAAATGCAGATTTATTGGTCTAGTATGCAAGAAATTATTGTATGTAACTTGGTACATATAATTTAGTTTGAGTAAATATTGTAAGATTTTGTCTGCTTGCAATTAAGCTTTTTGGCCCATCATGTTACATTGGGGGCAAAATCCAGTAATATCATGTTACATTGGGGGTAGAATACAGTGATATCATGTTACATTGGGCGCAGGATACAGTAATATCATGTTACAATGGGGTCAGAATACAGTAATATCATGTTGCATTGGGGGCAGAATACAGTAATACCATGTTACATTGGGGGCAGAATTCAGTAATATCATGTTACATTGGTGGCAGAATACAGTAATATCATGTTCCATTGGGGGCAGAATACAGTAATAGCATGTTACATGGGGGGCAGAATACAGTAATATCATGTTACATTGGGGGCAGAAAACAGTAATATCATGTTACATTGGGGGCAGCGTACAGTAATATCATGTTACACTGGGGTCAGAATACAGTAATATCATGTTACATTGGGGGCAGGATACAGTAATATCATGTTACAATGGGGGCAGAATACAGTAATATCACGTTACACTGGAGGCAGAATACAGTAATATCATGTTATATTGGGGGCAGAGTACAGTAATCTCATGTTCCACTGGGGGCAGGATACAGTAATACCATGTTACATTGGGGGCGGAATACAGTAATATCATGTTACATTGGGGGCAGAATACAGTTATATCATGTTACACTGGGGTCAGAATACAGTAATATCATGTTACAAAATATTCTCCAAATGTGATCCAAGGGAATATGCCAAACCCCAATGCCAATCCTTGTAGCATATCTGTATTAGATTTTTCATGCCCAGCAATTTTACATATGGTTATGGGGTGGGTATCTCAACTGTTTCCAAGCTGTGACTCAGAAACTAGGTCCCTAGCGTTTTGGCCAGACCCCAGGATCAATTCTTATATCATGACTGCATTTGTCTCTTTTTGCCCAGCATTTGTATATATAGTTTTGGGGTGGGGATCTCAACCCTTTCAAAGTTATGACCCAGGGGTTAAGTCTGCAAGGGTGGGGCAGATCCTGGGGTCAATTCTAATATCATGACAGCATTTGTCTCTTTATGCCATGCAACAATTGTATATTTAGTTTTGGGGTGGGGATCTTAACCATTTCGAAGTTATGACACAGGGGTCAAGTATCCAAGGGTGGGGTAGTCCCCAAGGCCATCCTGGAAGCATATGTGCATTCATCTCTTTATACTCAGCAATTGAATATATACGGTTACAGGGTGGGGATCTCAACTGTTTCCAAGCTGTGACTAAGAAACTAGATCCGTAGGGGTTCGGTCAGACCCCAGGGTCTATTCTAATATCATGACTGCATTCGTCTCTTTATGCCCAGCATTTGTATATATAGTTTTGGGGTGGGGATCTCAACCGTTT